AAACCTGAGTGTTTATATACCCATCTTATGTAATACTGACATAACTTTAAATCTCCACAGGTTAAATTGTTTGCTTCCCTGACAGATGGTGAGTTGTTTGCAATCATTTTTCACTGGACACTTCCAGTGGACATTGCTGTCCACTACTAGGGATTGCCATCTTTGTTTAGGTATGGAAATGCTTTTGAGACAGACAGATTACACATACACCACAGCCTGTGTGTGTACGTGTGTGTACGTGTGAGAGCATGTGTGCACTCACAAGCAAGCATGGGCTTGATATACGAAGAGAGAACAAGTGTCACTTTTGAAAGCAAAACTATAAAGTATGTCAGGAGTGTGCCATGCCTCATTAGATGCCATCACTCGGGGAGAGTGAGGCCAGCGATGAAGGTATTAATTGAGGTAAGGAAGCAGGCCAGCTTTAATTAAACGCAGTAGCAGTTATTTAGCAGCAGCTGCGCTTCATCGGGCACTGTGGCAGCTTGTGCAGCCGCCATGTGGCCGTGCTGGCAGCGCGGGGTCCAAGGAGACCTACTCCGCGCCCGGCGGGCAGCAGCTGCCGGCAGCGGCGGGCTGCGTCCACACTGTGGGCCCTGGAGAGCGGAGCACGTGGGGGAGCCGATGCTCTGAGCTACAATGACTACACACAACAACACTCCTGCTCCAAACCTGTAAAATTACAGCCAGAAAGGGGAATTTCTAGTGCTCTGCTGAGCGATGTGTGTGCATTTATGATTCCTCACACAGGGCAGCTCCTGAGGAGGAGCTCTGATTCCACATTGCTGATGCTTGTTTAAAATTCGTAGAAATCCATTATTGTGAATGTCAGCATCGTTAATTTCCACCAATCATGTGTATAGGTCAAAGGGGACTGAGCGCTACCTAAAACAAATACACGGTTCATCTGGTAGCTATACTGGCCACAGCGTCATTATGTTTTAGGGAGCTAAAGGGGAAGCTGGCTGGGCAGCTCTGTGGAAGCTGAGCCGGCCCGCGTGCCGCGTCCCTACGGCTGGCACTGGTGCCTGGCCGCAGCTGGGGCTTATAACAAAGGTGCCTGCGCAGCTCCACGCAGGGACGCACGGCCGGTCTGCACAGCAGTCACCCCTGCCGCGGCTGGTGGGAGCGCAGGAGCTGCAGCCTGGAGCTGTGGCCGGCCTTACCACCCCACCTAAAGCCCCGGGCCTGGCAGAGCCTGCCTAGCACAGGCAACAGGCACAATGCCAGAAGGTTCTATCGTGAAGACAGCCTTCACTGCAAGGTGACTGCATGGCTCACATAGGTGTGACTCCGGCTTTTACCTCAGGTAGGAGCTTTCCTCAGCAAGTAACTGAGGCATTTCCGGGAAGTTGCCCTGATAGAAAACAGTTACTGTTCACCTTTGCTCTGAAGCATGGCGGACTTTTAAGAGCACACTCCCACAACTCACTCATCTCCCCCTCCCTCCCTAAAAGTGCCCTGGTTTTTAGATATAGAATATAAAATATATAGGAAATAGAGAAAAGAGCAATATATATATATATATATATATATATATATATATATATATAGGAAGAAGCAGTAACCAAAATGCTTTCCAAATTGGTGAGAGATTTTTAAAGGAGACCTTCGAAAAAGAAATATATCAAATAAATTAGAGCGTAGAATAATCACTGTTGATTACAGAGAATAGAACAAGTAGTGAGAGAACAAATATCTGAAGGAAAAATGGCTGAGAGTTTTCTAGAATGCCTGAGAATGACCAGTTCACAGGCCCTGGAGACAGGGTCTGACCTCACAGCGGGACACACAGCGGAGGGTAGTGGTGAGAGTCTAGCAGTGTTATGGGGACCTTGGCAAGCATGGGAAAAGACGAGGAGCCCTCAGGGCCAGAGCGTGCAGGCGGGGCCGGCCTCGAGCACCGGGCAGGTGTCCTGTCTGCTGGCCACCCAGCAGGTGCGCTGTCAGGAACAGACTTTTTATCTAGTTTGCAAATGGAAGGAAGACAGATCTTCCCACCAGTAGTTTTAAGTGAAGGAACGACCCAGAAGATGCGTCGGGACAGTCCTGGTCCACAGTGAAAGGCGCAACGTAATCAGCCCAGGTTGTATTCAGCCTCCCTGTTAGACCGGCATGTGCGTCCGAGCAAAGACCAGGCATGGGCCTCTGACCCTTGATCGCTAATGTTCTCCTTCAGTCTACTCCGCATCTCTGTGTCACTCGGTTTACAGGGGTTTCAGGAGAAGTTTGTTCCAGTTCATAAGTCGCACCAGACTCTGGGAGTCCTCACACTGTTACCTGGGTTCCCAGTCCTTTGTCCTTGACAAATCACAAACAGAAAATATGAACATACCATTTTTGCCTTCTATAAATGTCAATAAAGCGCACCTGTGGAAGTTTTTTATTTTCTTAATATAAAAATATATAGCATGCTAAATTAATACAAACACCCAAAATACATGAATCTCTACAGAAGTTTCCTAGTTCTCTAATGAGTGTCTCAAAAAAGGATCGCTTATGTTCTCCTGTGTATTAACATTGTTAGCAACATGCACGGTGTTGGCAATATGGCATTTAACATGATTGTATTTTTCTAACCAGTAGGAATGCACACTAATCTACCAGGAATATTTTGATGATGTCACTACTTTATAACCGATGTGCAGCATTTACAAAATATCGGCTGGTTAACAAAAGAAAGTCAGCTTTCTGTTCACACCGAGATGTAAATGCTCTCTCCTTCTGTGTCTTCCATATTGACAGAGCCCAGCTCACTCCAACCATTTCATGCAAATAATTCTGGCTTTCATCACCCAGAATTTTGTTGGTGGCAAAGGCCACTTTTGCATTTTCTCTAGTGAGTTTCACTTTTTCCTGGGAAGTAGTTAAATAGGAAACACATTCTCTTGCATTTTTCTTCTGTACTGAAGATCGAACCCAGGTCCTTGCACGTGTTAGGCAGGGGCTCTACCACCAGAGCCATGCCCCAGGTCTATTTTTCTCAAAAGAATGCTGTTTTATTATTTCTCTATGACTTTATGAAAGACGAAAGATCTACTTATAATTGAAAAGCATTTTTTGGTGTGTTTTTGCTGCTGGAGTTCCTAGGAAATGACACAGAGACAATTCCACAAGTGTCTTGATTGTGCTTGTGTGAGTAGCCGATACAAAATAAAGCAATTGCAGCCGCATGTGATCTTCCGGGGCATTGTGAGCTCAAAACACAGTTCAGGTCACAGTTACTCTGTAATGGTCTTTCTGTGTGTGTCTAGTTCCTAAGCAATGTGAATATTATACACCAGTACCAAGTAATATCCTAGAATTCATTAGTCCAATGAGGATAAAAGCAGACAATTAATCCAATGAGGAAAACAGACCTTCAGCCGTCGCACCCACGGCCTCATTCCATACACAAGCGTCCTTGTTGTGACTGGAGTAAGGCAAAGGCAGATAAGCTAGGACTCAGGCCAGGCTGCGTGCTCCTGTCTCTCAAAATCAATGGATCTGGGTAGTGGATAAATTCATGAGTCAGTCACCTATTTGTTGGCTTCAGGCACAAAACTGTGCATACTTACGAAGTTCCCAAAGAGGCACGCAGAACGTTTGGTAACAGAGATCAAAGAAATAGTGCCAGTAGGCTATCTACCATTGAAAATCAATGAGCTTGATTTTTACCATGAAATTGAGTGCCTGGGGTTTTTGAGTAAGCATCTCACCCCAGGAAGCAGGCTCGGGGGGGGGGGTTGCCCCATCACCCTGGCTTTGGGACTCTGTAACAGCCGACTTGTTTGCCAGGAAACACAGAGGTGTATATAAAACCCCAAGTCGTTTCTCAAGCGATAAACCCCGCTGTGTTTTGGGGCTTCGCATCTTCCCTGCCGCTTCTCCATCACTGTGGCTGCTGGAGAGGAGATCTGAGCAGGAACTCAGCAAGTCAGCCCGCTGCCCCCTGCAGAAGAAGTTCATGTCGGAGATTCCCCGGAGGTCACTGGGGACTCGCCAGCTTTCCCTTTACATCCCTCTGGTAGATGTTCTTGATTAACTTCCTCATCAAATTAGAGCTCTAACTTGTATTGCTATAAAAACACTCTTTGTAGGGTGAAACAATGAAAAGCTGTAAACATCCCTCACAATGAAGCACCGTGGCAGGCGTGACCCGCTGGTCACCATGGAAACATGACTTTATAGGCACAGAATTCCAAGACAATGTTTATTAAAAAGCAAAACAAAACATCTTTTCAAGAAGCGATACTAAGATCTGTGCCACCAACCTAGCTCAAGGAAAAGGGCGTGGGTACTATGTTTGGCCTAGATTATTAATCAAGGTCATATTGATAATCGAGATCAAATAAAATCACACACCACCCCTCCAGACCACCTCCTTCCTGGACAGCGTTTTCCAGTCGGACTCTGGAGCTGAGCCCTTCTGCCCGGATGTTTTCTGTCACCATGTCTAGTCCCAGACTAGACACAGGTGTGTGTAGGGAGTCCGTGCAGCCCATTTGAGGCTGGATTAAAGTGAGGTAGTATGCCTTCCCACCCACTCTTAGGAAAAGAACATTCTGTGCCCTCTCCGTGCGCTGTGGAGTGTGCGCATCTCTCCAGGTCAGGAAACCGGCGCTCCACACACCGTCAGCCTGGTCTGACGAGCCAGCAGGCGCCCAGGAGGCAGTGGGCGGCCTCTGCTCATCTGGCCGAGAACGCGGGCTTTCCTGAGAGGAAGGTTGGTTAATAATAATGTGTGAAGACGCTGTACGGGTTGGTTTCTTCCTAGACCAGCAAATGGTATGCACAGTGACTAGAACGGAGGAATGCGGTGTTTCTGTGATTACTGTAGATTCACTCAAATTGTGGTATTTGAAGTTGGATGATGCAGATTTATTTATAAAGCATTCCTCTTACTGTGAAACAAAGCAAAAAGAAAAGCGTGGCCAGGGTGATGTTGAAACAGTAGGAAATGTGTTAGTGATTCTCCAAGCCCCTCTGCCTTGCATTGAAATGCTGTATTATGTTGACAGATCTGGGAAATTTTAGTGGCCGGACGCGAAGCGCGGTCTCCGTGAGGGACGGCCAGGGGGTCGTGCTGCTCTGCTCTCCCCCCCCACACTCGCCAGGTACGGAGGTCCCCTTCCCTGCCGGGGCTGTGCGCGTGCTCATGGGCGGTGGCGGGCCGGGCAGGCGTGGATGGAGGGTGCATGCTGGCCTGGCCGAAGGAGTCAGCGCGGGGAGAAGCGGGCGCTGAGGCTGTGGAGCCCGCCTGCCGAGGGGCCCAGACCTGGCTCCCTGGAAGACGGTTCCATAACCACGGCCGATGGCTGTGCTCACGCCGGTGCAGCCTGTGCACAAGGAAAGCCATCGATGGAGCCAAGGCATTTGAAGTGTCAGATCTGAGTGAAACACACCAGTGCGCATCTTGTCTCGGAAGAAAAGCTGCATGCTTGCTGCCTGCTCAGAAACGCTGTTTGTGTGGATAGCTCTTCCTTCCCTTTGGGGGCACTACTTGAAGGCTTGCTTACGAAAGTCAGGGAAATAGGTAAGTATTTTATAGGTTTAGAGAAATAGAACAGTAAGCTGCACTTGGTATTTTATACGCTTTTGGAAACTCAAAGCTAATTATATTCATTTTGCTTTAGTTCTACAATTTAAGACATATTCTTCTTTGCACCTTAATGTATGTAGTGCTTCTATAATACAATTTAAGAGATGCCAACGTTAATTACAATAGAAGAGGGGAGGGAGAGAGAGGAAGAGGAAATGAGTAGTACATAGACTGTGTCAGGAAAAAAAAGACTTTATTTAACCACTGCTCTGGAAAGAGAAATTAGCGTCCAGATAGCCAGTCTAATTTCCCTTGTTTAATGTGACAGCCATATTTGTTTCAGTGAATTCACCTGTTTTAAACGTGCAGTTCATGGATTCTATTGAACATACACAGTTGTTCCACCATCACTAAAACTCACTGTTCAACTCCTCCTCCCTCTGACTCCAGGCAGGTATCCATCGATGTATCTGCAGGTTCACTTTTGTCTAGACTTTCCATTTGAATGCAGTAATACGATGTGGGGGGTCTGTCTATGTCTTTGGCTTCTGTGAATGTCTTTGGCTTCTTTTACTTAACACGACTCACCGATTTGCAGATCTTTACGTTGATGGATGCTACTCTGTTGTGCGGATACTCCGAATTCTGTTATCCATCCCTCAGTCGTGGCCATTGGATCGTCAGTTCTCGCACCGACAGGGTCCCACATTCCTGGTTTGCCTTGTAGACATGTCGCTGTCTGCTCGCTGCTCCGCTCACTGGGATTTCTCATGGTTGTGTCAGGCTCCGCCAGAGCTAAGCTCAGTGCCTGGTGATAGACCCTCACGTCACCAGCCACCCTCTGCCCACTTGCATTACTGGAAGCTCCACTTCTTGCTGTTGATCTTATAGGACCTTCTGCACCTCTCACTGCGAGCGCCCGCACCTGTATCAGCGATTTGTTGGTTCTTATGCAACACCTTCTGTAGCAGTACCTTCTTCTGTGAGGAAGTCTGCCTGACTTGCATCCGCCCTCCCCCTTGCTAGCTTGTGGGTTGGCGGTTCAAGTCCTCTCCTGCAGGGTCTCAGAAGCTAGGCGAGTCCCTACCTCCTCCTCCTGCCGCTCGGCCCGCCCGGCCTGGGTGCCGGCCCCGCCCGGCATGCCCCTCCTCATCCCCCACAACTTTGAATCTGGCCTTCCTTTATCATTTCAGCTTCTCAGCTCCTTTCTTGATCCTCTGCTTGGTATTTCTTCCCTAGAAGCCCTCATCCCTGCAGGGTAAATTTACTCAACTGTTGAGTCTCTGTCAGCTTTGATTAGCAGGTAATGTCCATTAGGAAGGAAATTCGGTTTTGTCCACTTGTGGCACAGGTAACTAGTACAGGACTTGGCACAGAGTAGGAGCTCACAAAGTATTTATTGACTAAATCTATGCAAAATACTCAGAAATAAAACAATGAAGAATGATTAAGACGTTGGGAGACTAACCCTAAACAGACTGGAAGAAATAGCTCGATGTGTGTGAAGCCTTGGGGTCTGTGTTGAAGGGGCAGGATGATGCAGGCTTTGGCCTCAGGATGATCTGAGGACTGTGTTTGTGTATGTGGAAAGCTCTTGGCATGCTGGGCTAGAGGGGAACATGTTCTCTCTCTCTATCTCAAAACACGTGTCACAGACTCCTGGGAGCTGAGGAAGTAGTTCTTCTGCTTGCCTATACTTAGTGCCTAAGCATAGATGAACAGCTGGTCAAGCTTTTTCCTGAGATTGGAGAAGTGATTTGAGCTTGCTCTAACATAGTTTAGATAATAATATACAAAGACATTGTCTCATAGGTTAAGTAAAAATGTATCTGTGGAAATTCTTTGTGTGAATGTCTCCTGACTAAATCTTGGCAAAGATAATACTTGCTTGTCTTTCAATACCCACTAGCAATAAAGCACAGCATGCAGTGGCCATTGCTGTTTGCACGCTGCATGCCCTGGGTCCTGGTGATTTCGTGACCCTTACCCAGGGACCCCAATGCACTAGACATTGACAGATGTGGAGGAAGAATCTTCACAGTTTATTTCTGAGTGAATTTTCTGTGTGCAGCAGAAAAAGAAAATGTGAGTAGCATCATCAACATAGAAGAATCAGTGTGACAGTTTACATTTTCACCCAAACGGCCCCTGAAACCTGAAGTATTCACATTTATTAATTGAGAGTACAGTCATATTGAAAAGTGGCGATGTAACTCCCGGGCCTTGCTTCCAAGCGCTTACAATGAAGTGCACAGGGGCCACATGAGGGAAGAAGATGGCCCGGCGCTGAGGCTTGCTTGAGTGGTTTTTACAAGCCGTGGTTTCTTTTTCTGGGTGGGATAGAACTGAACTTTGTGAGCTCAGAAAGTCAGCAGACGCTGCCAGCCCCACAGCTCAGTCCCCGTCCACACAGGCACAGCACACGCCACACACACGCGCACACACACACGCACGCCTCTCCACGCCACGCCGCCCCCTCTTAGTCTTGCTTTGCCTTCCTTTCAAGTCATAATTATTTATCAGAACTTTATGTGAAGTAAAGTGTCAGAAGTAAAACTTACTGAGCTTTTTACACTCCGTAGTGGGTCACCTGTTCTTCCATGGCGTGAAACTTGCCTTGTTGCAATTTATCTTCCCGTATTTAGTGCCGACACCTGACGGGTCTCCCTCACGGCCCACAGATAACCAAAGAACGCGTGATTCCCACCGTTGAGCTTTAGAGGCCTCGACAGTCCTCGCCAGTCCTCAGCTATTAGTTTATTGCAACCACATCTGTGGCAGGTATTGGGTCATTTCATACCACATTCAAGTAGCATTCTTTCAAAGCGTGGCAATGCTGCCGTTCTGTGGTAGCTGTGAGGAAATTGACCGGCTTTTACATGAAAGAAGATTGAAAGTATTCAGAAGCAGCCCAGTGGTTTTCTTAGTGCCTGAAGTAGATATATGCAGTATACAATTAGCATTGAATTCTTTTTTTTTTTTTTGGTCCAGTCATGGGGCCTGAACTCTGGGCTTGGGCGTTGTCCCTCAGCTCTTCAGCTCAAGGCTAGCCCTCTACCACTTGAGCCACAGCGCCACTTCTGGCTTTTTTCT